GAAGGCCGACTGAGGACATCACGCGTCAGGCCCTCGAGTGGAATCCCCATGGGAAGCGACGAGTTGGACGTCCGAGGGTGACATGGAGGAGGTCATGCGAGGAGGAAATGAGAGCTTCTGGGCTGTCGTGGAACCAGGTTCAAAAGATCTCAGAGAACAGAGGTCACTGGAGGCGTGCTACTGAAGCCCTATGTTCCACTAGGAACCCAAGGGACTAATAATAATAATAATGTTGCCTAGGTAGGCGTAGTCCAGATCTAGACAACGCAAGATGTCGTGGATAAGACGCTGGATGGTCTGTGTAGCGTTCGGTAGTCCAAAGGCACGCAGAGAGGCCAAACAGGTCGAATGGTGTGATAGATGCTGTCTTCCGGGCACCATCTGGATGTACGGGCATTTAGTGATAATCATGTGCCATGTCGAGTTTAGCAAAGACAACCACACCTTTCAAAGTGCCAGCCAAATCGTGTGAGGAACTGCCTTACGATCGGGGCCGCTTCTGTGCTGAGTCATGGAGAGTCGACCCAAGGCCTCCAGCTCACGCCGTTTGTCCTCCAGACCTCATTCAGAGGGAAGGGCCGTGGGTTTCTGTGCGGTCCAGTGATGCCCATTCCCAAAATTTGTTCAAACTCACCCCTGATGGATTGCATTTGTCTTGAGATTAACGTCGCAGCCCGGTGAAAACTGGTGGACCAGTTGTCATTATGAGGTGCAACAAGATAGATGTTGCGCAAGACATGCCAGACATTGACTCGAAATGCCAGGAAATGACCGGACTATCGAGGCATGAAAGTGGGGAATGTTGGGGCTGGATACATTGGGCTGATGGGTAGGGTATTGGTAAGAGCGCCAAAAACAGAAGATAGTACGGTAGAATCGATCAACCTATACTTGCCCGTATCACTCAGGAACTGGAAGTGCGGTAAGAGATACATACCGATTATGCCAGTTGTCGCGTCTACGACAGTGTAAGCCAAGCGAAGCGAACGGCGTTGTCCTAGGGTAAGAACACGTTACTACAGTATGTCATGATGCGCAAACCCCCGACATCACAAAGTCGTGGAGAAGTCGCACATAATCATTCTTCGGCAGCGGGTGGAATTACTCTAGCTTCAGCCCCAGTATCTATCGGGAAGCGTATCCTTGAAGGACGACCAGCTATGTGTGTTTCAGAAAAATTTACCAACTCTTATTACACACACGATAGTTTTCAAATAATTCAAATATGCAACAGAAAAAGCTGACCAATGGGGAGTGACATAGGTTTCAAATTTGCATTCACACCTACTTGAATCACATTTGTGGATTTCTTAGCTGGTCCAAGTCCTTCTCCTGACCACCCTCATCTGCTAACCAGGCTTTAATTCCACGTCAGTCACTTAGATTTTCTTTGAGTTATCATGTAATTACTATATCCAATATATTCTTACGAGGTAGTATAAACCAATTGACTTCATCGCGCTCGCTTCTAGCGTTTGCGGAACGATTACGGGTCTTTGGTGTATTCCCACGAGCCTACTGAAGCTCCGGTTACCCGACGGGCGGTTAAGTGTTGATTTAGTATGCAGGGACTGTATGTTATTTTTAAGGAATGTAGTACAGATTGGTTCCTCAAGTGTCGTGCCACCACATAGTTTTCCGGACTGGTTGTAAAAGACAGAAGAGATGTTCAGCAAAATCAAGGAAGAGGAAGTGCAGAGGAAAAAACCAAGTGAAAGGAAGTAGAACCTAAAGGAAGGAAAAACCCAGGTTGATTCATGGGCGATAACTGATGAAAAAAACTTTAAAGTGGGTGAGATCATAAGGTCAAAAAGGACGCAAGGAGCAAGTAAGATTATAGGACGGATTATGGAAATATGAATAGTAATGTTATTAGTGGGAGTATGGTAACTGGGGGTGAGATGTCTAACAGGGAAGTATAAGGTTAAGCCAATTTCTCGATGATAATGGTGGTACGAAAGATTCGGTATAGGGTTGACTGTGCTGGGTTGTGCGAAATTGGGTTATATCAACCTAGTTCGTATTCATGCCGAATGGGTGTGAACCGTGCGTCAATGCGAAGCTGTCCAACCTCTTCTTGAAGCTGTCGACAGACGCAGCAGTAGTAATTTCGACAGGTGGTGGATTCCAGTGGCTGCAAACTCACAGAGATGAAAATTGTGAACGCACATAGGTTATCGCCCTTTGATAAGCGATTCTTCTTGGGTTACCTTTGTAGAGACTGCATGAGCCACTTAAATGTTTCTTTTTTATACGTTTTCTACATTCTTCCTTGAGGATTGCCGCAGTGGCCGTTTGGTAGGATTCCGTTGTTCAGGTGATTTGGATAACTCGGTACTTTTAAGCCGTTGTCAAATCGCCACATATCCTACTGTAACTAAGAGTGTAAAGACCTAGGTTTTTCACCCCGTCTTCATAGTATTTCTGCCGCATTCCCATAACCTTCATTGTCTACCTCCAGGAGGTTCACATTTTCCAGGCTTTATGGTGCAATGACGTTATAGACCTCCAAGTGACGTTGTAAATAGGCCTTCCCGACCTTCAAAAAGAGTTCCGGCATAGGGGCACCTAGTGGTCTGCGCATGAAGCGCAGTGCTGCGTAGGCCCTGGAGGCATCTCGATTGTTGAAGCAGGTGTCCAGCTGGTCGGTCAGTATTAGTCCCAGGTCGTTTGGAAATATTGCGTACCACAGAATACTTTCTGCGACTCCGGGATGCCAAGAAACATGGTTCGGAATTTTTCCGGATTAAATGCAAAGTCGTTGTCATTCACCCACTCTGCAAGCAATTTGAGGTCACATTGTGGCTCACTTGATCCTGTTTTGGACTTCACAGCTCTCCATAAGCTGACATCGTCAGCTTAAAGGAGAACCGGGAAACTGAGACTTAATGGGAGGTCATTCACAAAACGTAGGAACAGCAACGGACCCAAAATCGCTCCTTGTGGTACACTGGATAATGAGGTTCTCCAAGTCGAGCATAGTTCTTTGTCGTCTAAATAGTCCTCCAGCTAGGAGAGGATTTGACTGTTGATACCCAACCTTGATATTTTGTGAATCGGAATGTCGTTTGTGTCTGTGTTAAAGGCCTAGGCGAAACCCAGGAAAGTCATACGAACAAGGACTTGGAGGTTCCAGTATGTCGTCCAGTTGTCATCGGCTGCCAGAAGGTTTGAAGGCGCAGGATGTACCCTTTCAGAAACTGTGTTGATCATCAGTTAGTGCTGCCTCCTTGTCCGAGTACTGTCTGGCATGATCATCCACAGGCTGTTCATTACTTTCGACAGGACTGGTGGAAGTGCTGTGGGACGAAAGCATTTTGGGTTCTGCCTTTCTCGTCTTCTGAAGATGGGAGAGAGAATAGCAAGTTTCCACTCTCGTGGACGCGTGTGTTTGTCTGAGGAGTGTGGAAGTGTATTACTAGTTGGACCACAAACAGCACCTCCACACTGTTTCAACACAGACGGTCGAATGTAATCGCATCCCGGTGATTTTCCTGCACAGAGCTTTGACAATTTTTCGAGGATCATAGTGGGAGTTACCTTTACTCCATCCAACGCTAAGTAGTGCTGAAGGTTACACAAGCAGTTGATAATTTTGGTTGAACGACGGAATGTTTGTGTGTAGAAAGTGGCGCTAAAGATTTTGGCAATCTCCAGTCCAGAAAAATTCTCTCTGTCCAAGCCTTTCATAATGCAAGCTCCCTGGTTAGTAAACTTTCTCCTCAACGAATCGATATAGGTTTTTAGGGTTGACTTCAAGCTTCTAGAGAGGGTTTATCTGCGTGATTCCTAGCTTATTTTTCTTGTTGGGGCGTACAGTGATGAATTGGTGTATGATCCTTCATGGAATTCCTAACGTGAAATACATTTTGGTTAGTGACACAGTATGCTTGCTAGATATAAGAATACATCTTTGGACACACCTTTTATCATTGCATATCTTGGTAACTTCATATGGCCTGGTGTCAACTGGAATGCCGGTGTTATGTTAAAGATATAGATATCTCTATAGTTGGATGTTTTCATATAGAATTAAGCGAACAATTAGGAAAGAACTGATAGATAAGGCATACTACAGGTTTATGATTCGTTTCAATGTGAATCAAATCAATCTATGAATACCTACTCACAAGTTTTATAGGCAGAGGTGAATTTGTAAAACGTACTGCGTAGTTTTTGAGTTTCATAACTATATTGCACTATAAAGGAAGAAGTATACTCAGCGGCCATGTTCACGTTTACGCCTCAATCAACTAGCCACTAAGTTTATACTCAGATCTTGTCAAGTGAAGCCGTTTTCTAAGCTGGAACCCACTAATTGAAACTCAAGTCCCTGGACTAATGAGCCACAAGCTCTAGGCAAGTCTGATGCCTTAGCAAGTGAGCTGACTGGCTCAACTGGGTATACAGAATAGATACCAGTTATTGGTTTTCTCATCCAATCTGGAACTCAAGCGTTTAGTCATGATACCGTGCACCTAATTAGTGGAATTTTCGCAACTAATTCATACTGTCTGTTGACTTGTCTTAGCAAAATAAACTATGAAGCTACTTTAAAAGTCAAACAGTACCATTGTGTACAGGTATTATCTTTAGTACCAGAATGCTTGTGAACATTTCCACTTTAAGGGCGCACAGTAGGTGCAAACTTAGATTAATCTGGCTTGACTCGAAGTGACGCGCAAGTGTTTCCAATGAAGTTTTTTTTACGTAATCACTGCTAAATCTTGCTTTTAACTGATTCAGGCTTTATTAATTCTACTTATACATTAAATTTGCACTGTTGTCGGTTTCTTCTGCCGCTTTTTGCATTTTTTTTACGGAATGAGAAATATCTAATATCTCGAATGCCAACTACAGCCATACACTTGGGGTCAGAATGGTGTCGATCCTCAACTGCCATTCATTAAAGCACAGGTTAAAGCCTATTCAACCAACTTTGGCTTGTGTATTTTCATTTCATGTAACAAGTTATCTCTTTTTATTATCGCAGGTACGTCATGTTTCCTGTTAAATCGGTGAGGTTACCACGTATCATTATTGGTTTTCGAAATCTGTTCTACAATACGTCTGCAGCAGACACCAAAAAGCGAAGGACATGGATCACCTATTCGTTGCTGGTATGTCACTGTTGATTACAAGTTGAGCATTGTTTTAGGATAGGCTTTTATGTACTTGGTGATCGTCTGACCCTTTTGATAAATGTAGCGACAGAGCAAATATGCATGGAATTCCCGTTGCAACAGAGTTAGTTTCGCCATCATATTCTTTCCTATACTTAGTGAAGTAGAAATCAGCACTTCTGTGGAATACACATTTTTCAGGAATAAAATTTTAGAGGGTGAAACCCTTTAAGTACGGTAGTTTAGCCGAAAAGTTGCACTTTTAACATTTAAGTAGTAGTTTGTTATTCTTTGCTTCGGTCGATTCTAAAACGCTAACGATTTGCTAATCGTAATGCATTATAAGCATTACCTATCCATCTTGTTCACAATCTCGAAATCTTCATATCTTTCACCTAAACCTTTAACTGCCTCTAGGGTTGCACTTTATTGAGTACGATGAATTCGCTGTATCTCATCTCTTCAATTTCATACTACCTAGCATGGGTTAATTATTAGGACAGGCTTACCCGATTTTTCCACTCCTCTTTAAATTTGCCATCGATGACATTCTTGAGACAGCTCTGAAGGAGAGGCGTTATGGTGGTGTACATCTACCACCCGGAAAACAGCTATTCGACCTTGAATATGCAGACGATGTCGTCTTACTGTCCGATAACACACAGGCTACTCAAGTCGCACTTAATCAGTTGGCGATTGGTGTCTGTAAGTATCGTTATATTTGCTTTGCACCACTGAAGTGGAGAGAACTTTTGCGAGATTGGCATAATCCCGTGCTTGCGCTCACCCCTAGGTGGTGAGTCGTTGGAAGTAGTCGAAACATTCGTGTATCTGCGTAGCTGTGAGTGATGAAATTTCTAACCACATAGCGTAAACCAGAGTGGCACACGCCAATCTGGTCCACCTTTGGCGCCGTCGTGACGTAAGTTTGACCGTAAAAGATCGGGTTTACAACGCTTCGGTGCGAGGAGTTCTGCCCTACGCCTGTGAAACCTGGCCTCTCCAAGCTGAAGATGCGTGATGACTGTGTGTGTCCGATCATCGTTGTCTCCCTAGGGCTGCTCGCATACGGTAGCTGCACCATGTAAGTAATTCTGGGTACAACAGCGTGTTTAGGTATGGTGGTGGTCGTCATTCAATAAATGAAGTCATCTGGAAACACCGGCTTCCTTGGTTTGGACATGTGTTACACATGCGTCCCAATGGCTTCCACACCGTTCATTGTTTACTAGTCCTGGGACTGGATGCAAGAAGCGGAGGGGTGGTCAGTGTGTGACGTGGTGCAGTAGAATAAAGGATAGTTGTATCTGGTTAGCATCGGCTGGTGAATAACGACACACTACTTGTTCACTTGTGCAGACAATCGCATATTTCTGGCCAGCTAGCACGTCAAGTATAAACACAGACATTTTCTAGTGCGCCATCTACTGACCTCAATTTAACAGTAAACACACACACACACCCAGTATCCCTGTCATTCATTGTTGGAGAGTGTCAGTCCAAGGCCGTCACTCCTTCCAAGACACGCACTTGAACCAATCACCATCCACAGGTCTACGCTCAATTGAATGTACAAAGGCTACACCTAGAAGACCCACCAAGTGCAGCTTAAGGGTTCGGATTTCAAGGTTCCTTTGGAAGGGAAACTGACTGGACAGTTATCAAGACATGATTTCCCTGATCATCCTGAACAGACTTGGTACCATCCCCAGTCTGATGAAAAAACAACATTTAAAAAGGTAAGTGACTCTCAGAAAGGGGTTAAGAAAAGTGCTGATGGATTTTAGCCTCTTCTTCTGAATTAATGGATGCACGTGAAAGCATCGCTCCAGGCTCGCAGTACAGTCAGGAACGAAGGCAGATCAAATGTAGGTTGACCGGGAGTCTATGCAGTGACTGTGAGCAGTGCACCAGTCAACATGGACATCCATAGAGATGGGGAAGGCGGCAGCGACAAGCAATACTAGAAAGCTGTTTACACTTGACGAGAAGACTGAAGTAAAGTCAATGGTTAGTGAGACTATAGAGAAGAAACATGGGTCAACGATTCACTTGCTGAGACGACAACTGGAACTATTGGAAGTACACTGCAACGAACACCCCAACTAGCCTCGTATCATTCTACAGTCCCCTGCTATTCACAAGGAATATCTAGATAGAACCTTTAACTCTCACTTAAGTTGGGAAGGCTATATACAAATATTTCAACGAGGAAATGCAGTACACGTTGAAACCCTGGCACCACAGATATTTAAGGACGGTGGTTGAAGAATATTGCTCAAATTACATGAATTGTTGTTAGCTAGCCTTTACCAATCACATATGATCCATTCGGACTGGTCTTCATCGTTCCCTATCGTAGTCTTCAACGAAGGAGAGAAACCCCACTGTGATCCCCACAAGGGAATCACTCAAATGACCATAGTGTCTATAACTCTTACACATATATGAAAAACTCTACATCAGCAAACTCGAGGAAATCAGGCAGGCTTCACACTCAGCTGTAGGTGCACTGACCAGATATTCACCCTCCAACAATTTCTGGAATATAGATCCACATACAAATGTCCGACAAATAGCTGTATATTTTCCAACCTGCAGGTGGCGTCTGACTCAGTTGATTGGGAGGTCTTACGTGAATGTTTCCCATTGAAACGGGTGTTCAGAGAATACACAGTTCGGTTAAACATCCGTGAGCTTATCACAGCCTACTGTGAGTTTTGTATGTTCAGTAGCATCAGTTGAAGATGTTTTGTTTCTTCATCTCCACTTAGTTTCGTCAGAGACGAAATGTTAGATGCGTCCATGAAATACCTGATTGTTGGTCCGAGTTGTGTGAAGAAATGCAGTTTGTGGTTGAGGACCGCAACACAACGAGACCAATCGTTTGCAGACTCCGGGTGATATAGTTCTGAGTCAATGTCAGTCAAGTAGATGTATTCAATCGACGCACATACTATCTTCTTAATCATTATTCAGATTTTCGTCATTGTTTCATACCTACTTCCTCTCCTAACACAAGTTTCTACTGCATTCGATTACTCCCTTTTTTCTTTTGCCATCTTTCATCTTGCTGCATTCTCGTTTGATGTGCTGATATCACATGTGGTAACTTGGATCGTTACGCAGTAATGCCAGATCTCATGTTACAACTAACTCACTGAACCATGATCACTAGCCAGACTTCTGCAACTTCATGGCGAATACGACGTACAGCCAGTTAGTCAGTCAATATAAACATGAGAAGTGCCACTTTTGAGTAGCACCTCAATTCGCCATGCTTCCATACAAAGATACACAGAAATATAATGAGAGACAAGAGAATAGGGATACTATAATCAAAAGTCATAAAAGGTGATAGGCAAAACGAGAGGATAAAGTAAGTAATAAAGTGCAGTCTAACGGTCGAGGTGAAGATGGGGTGAAAATGCATCTGCGAAAATACTACCGATTGAGTTATCTTATCTACAGTTTCCAACTTTCAGCCTCAGTCACTACACAGATCCAGGCCAACAAGTCTACACCTTTCTAAACAACTCAGAGAAACAATCAAAATCTTCACAGACTGGTGTCATATTTGTTCAGCCGTTGTCCACTGACCTAGACAGTTGACTTTTAACAAGTGAGTCATGAGCTCGAAAGCCGGCACCACTGACCGAAGTTTATGCAACCAGGTATTGTGGCTCACTAATAACATGCACATAGTTGCTGAGAGTTTCATTTTCTAATTTATGCTATTAAAACTCTTCTCCAACCTAGCCTCATTCTAGGCTAACACTGTTTAATGGGGTAGACAGTAAATATCTATGTATACACATGTTCCAGTCACCTCAGTTAGCGAACATGCGTAGCCTCATTAACTGGTCTAATTCTCACTCTCTATCTCTCAAATATTCTACACCTAACGGGCACATTGCTCACGTGATGGCTCCGAAGCATATCAGCCCACTAGGCGAGAATGAACGACGATCGAATACAAAGAAACAGAGAATGAGTCAAAAGTGATAGAAGGTAGTAAAATAAGAGGAAGAAGAAATAAGAAAATACTGAACTCAGTATGATGATTACGATGAAGAAAATGCGTGGATAGCACTTGCTCCATTGAGATAGATTTCGAGTCACATCTTCTGCTGTCACGCAGACCCCAACTGAGAAGGTTACATTCTCCTTACATGGTTCAGTCCAAGAGTCAAGGACTTCAGAGACTTGTGGTATGTCATAGTTTTCTTGCCTATAAGCTTTTACCAGCCTAAACCCACTTCAACCAAGATTGTGCGGTGAGGCAAATGGTGACTTATCATGCGCAATAAATACACCAGCTACCTGAGCTGTTGAAGCTTAACAACCTCATCACCTGGTTTTCTTCTCCTCTCCAAGCTCTACACCTGACTACTGCATTACTGACGTGGCGATGTCTCGACACAGTCTGGTTTTTAAAGGCAATGGTGATCAAATACCAGAAGCCTTTTCATGTCTTTTACTCTTACTGGCTATGTTTAATAGACACAGTAGAACACAGCGAACTACAGAGTCGTACACTCGACCGTTAGTAGACCAACACATCATGGTGGTGTCACAGAAAGTAAGTTGAGGAAAGCCAAAAGAGCCTTTTGTATTCATGTAAAGATTTGGTCGGTTTCTGATCCATCAAGGCTGATCTGACTTCCCAGGTAAGTGAAGTGTTCAACACACTCATACAGCGTATGTCATCTGACAATTCATACAGGCTCTAACACGCTCACCAATGTTCGACAACAAATCTTTACCCAGCATAGCTTTCAGTGAAACACTACGATAAGACCTCACAATCGATGGAGTAAGTGTAACTGTGTTTCAGAAGCTGTCCTAGTTCATCCGAGCAACTGGTGTCAGTGAAATGGTGTGTGAGGCAGGTAGTATGCCGATAGACAATCTTCAAAGACACCTTAAACGCTGAATGGAGCACTTCGAAAAGCAGATTAGCTGAACCACAGCTCCAGCGTCTTCAGTGTATCGTA